ATGTACCATATTTAAAGACCCAAAATCTATTCGTATATATATGACCGAAAACTACAGAAGAAATGCGTACCAACCAAATTCAATAAAAAATTGGGAATTAACTTAACCAACTCAATGGCTTGCATGTTTTGGTTCTATAAGCCTCCAAAAAATTTAAATTAGGGTTGTTATAAGATCGCGTTGGAGGAAGAATGATTAATACAATAAACAAACAGATCATGTTTCACAAGAGTCCAAAAGTTCTCCAATATTTTAGGGTTGTGCCTCCATTGTCCCGTGTCCTATATATATATACTTGCACAATGTGTTGCTTGCGTTAATATATCAAAACAAAATGAAGCAGCACGGCATGATTGGCACCATTAATCATGCCTTCCAAATGAAGTTCTCCATTTTTTCTGTAATCATCTTTCTCCTCATCCTCTCGTCCGCCATGGAAATCGAAGGTTCGAGGTCTCTTGTAGATAAGCTGATATCTTCTAGTAGTTCAATTAGTAGCAGGTTGAAGATAGTGAAAGCATACTCTGGTCCTAGTAGGAGAGGGGCTGGCCATGCTTTTCTGCATGTTAATCTTTCTCCTAGAGCTCCAGTCAAGAAGTTGACCACGGCTAAAGCATTTTCTGGTCCGGCTAAAGGCGGGGTTGGCCACTAGATCATCAAACTCACCGTGCTGCAATTGCCCCATCGGATCATCATACTTTTCTTTTTAATTTGTAATTTTATTCAGAGTTTCCATCTTTCAAGTTTTTTTTTTGTTTCTGTTGAGAAACATTTGGCAGTTGTTTGTGCAGAAATGCGTTCTTTTTACTGCTTGCCCTTTTGGTCTCCTAAAATGTTGTTGGGATGGCAAGCTTGATGTTGTCTCCATGTCCATGTCCAAGTTAAATTAAAGTTTTATTTCCCTCAAAACGAGAGAAGTGTAAACAAGGAGTGGTGGTGGTATGCGGGAAATAAGATTTGTGATGGCAAAAGTGAGGTTGTACTTGTTGGAAATTTAAAAAAAAATAATGAGTGGGATACGATGAAAATTATCACTTCACTTTAATTCTAGGGTAGTGCTATTCACACACTCATTTTACTTTTCACACATCTTTCTCAATTTTCGGCCGTTGAATCAAATGAGTTGAAGAATATCAATGCCTAAAAATTAATAAAGGTGTGTTAAACGTAAAAATTAGTGTGTAAATAGCTCTTTCTTAATTTTAGCATGCATGTAATATTTCACAAGTTTCCTTCCAAAGTTTGCTTGCAATACATACAAACTTGCGTTCCTTCACGGGGAATGCACATATCCCACCCTTTATGAATAACATATATTCACTGTATAAATTTTATAATCCGAATCATTAAATTTCTTAGTCTTATTTGAAAATCATTTCTAGCTAAAAATTATTTAAATTAGATATCTTTTAGCAATCCAAAATTGTGTGGAGCAAATCGACCGTATGAATACCAAGTAACATATTCAAGATGAATCCTCCATTTATCTGATATATGGGATGACTAAACGATATCTGTTTCACATACTTTTTTGTAGGAATGATATCCAAATAAGATTAAGAAATTGAATAATTCTGATTATAAATTTCTACAATTATGATCCGTTATTTGCAAGTAAAGAAATGAGTCAATCCCCTGTTTGGGTTGCGCCATTGGGCCTTGTGACAGCTGACTTGGAGACCGTAATAGGATCTCAAGTAATGTTGGAATCTTGCAATTGAGTTGGGCTTCTACCTAAATTTATCAATTGGGCTTGGTTTTGTACCCGGTGAAGTCCACTGAGCAATGAGGATCGGTCAAATGCTTTGTGCAGCCAGGTAGAAAAGATCCAGTGCAAAATAACAGGTCCGTGAGTTTTCTCCAGCATAGTAAGTTTTTTATTTTAATAAAAACGATAATACGGAGGGAATTCGGGCTTGGATGTAAGAGAAGAAGCAATTCTCTAGCCAATAAAGATACCCCGACGTTCACATTAGATCTGATAATTTCTTACACGACTCATTAATTCGATTTGTAAACGACACGAAAGTAATAGGTTTTTGATCAACACGATAATTAATCGGATCGTTATCAGGTCACACGATAAGAACCCGTTAATAACAAATTCTTAATAGGTTTACACGAAGGTGACATGAGGTAACCTGTTTCGACACGTTAAGAAAAAAGTTATTTTGATGATTTTAATTTTTAAACTACTAAAAAACTTACTATAAAATACAATAACCATTGTGTATATATATAATTGTATATTAAATATTTATTATTGTATTATTATTCTATATAAATTAAAAAAATTTAAACTTTATTTATTTATTTTCATAGCTTAATTATAAAACACATTAAAAATAAAAGTATCAGGTATTTTAAAAATACCAAACATGTCACATCCCAGCCCGGGACGGATCACTTCCTGGGCCCGCTCCACCACCGTAGCACGATATTGTCAGCTTTGGGCTTACCATTCCCTCACGGTTTTGTTTTTAGGAACTCACGAGCAACTTCCCAGTGAGTCACCCATCATGGGATTGCTTTAGCCCCTTTCTCGCTTAACTTCGGAGTTCCTACGGAACCGAAGCCAGTGAGCTCCCAAAAGGCCTCGTGCTAGGTAGGGATGAGAATATACATTTAAGGATCACTCCCCTGGGCGATGTGGGATGTCACAATCCACCCCCCTTAGGGGCCCGACGTCCTTGTCGGCACACACGCGGTTAGGGTTAGGCTCTGATACCAAATTGTCACATCCCAGCCCGGGACGGATCACTTCCCGGGCCCGCTCCACCATCGTAGCACTATATTGTCCGCTTTGAGCTTACCATTCCCTCACGGTTTTGTTTTTGGGAACTCACAAGCAACTTCCCAGTGGGTCACCCATCATGGGATTGCTCTAGCCCCCTTCTCGCTTAACTTCGGAGTTCCCACGGAACCCGAAGCCAGTGAACTCCCAAAAGGCCTCATACTAGGTAGGGATGGGAATATACATTTAAGAATCACTCCCCTGGACGATGTGGGATGTCACAAAACACATTTAAAAAATTACAATAATTAATTTAAAAGTGCGAACAATGTGAAAAAATATGCAAATGCTCATGATTGCATCATCTACGGGTGTTACGATCCATTAAAATATCGAGTATGACACGAAAACGACACGAACTCAGAAAACACGGAACAAATGCTTGATCTAGTCCACACTATCAAAGTGAGTTTAAATAGGTTATCACTAGAGTGCGCGGGTAAAAGCAGATCCTCTATAAATCGATATGGTCAAACTATCGTCTGTATAATCAGCTTAAAAATAATTAATATGATAACCTCACTCCATATCCAACTTAAACTTTGAGTGTGAACCGCCATTTCTATCCTATTGTATAATTATTATCAAGTACAAGATGGAATTAATAATAAAACTAAAATTTATCAATAAACCTGCACTTAATAATCAAACCCTTACCATTACGCAATTTTTCTGTTATGTTATGTTTTGGTCAAAACTCTAAACTGCTTTCATAGAGAATAACTCTTTTTAACGAAATGTATTGTGACATTAAATTTACATAAATCTACATCTCGAATATAACCACCAGTCGCATCAGCTTCTCTGGGGCCATCTTTACATTGTAGGCATCTTAAATTTTTAGCAAAGCTCCAATTGCAAGATACATAATACTTTGGTCTAGGTTTGACTCTTGGGCATGAAAGCAAGCTAATTTGAGCCCCATACCTTGGTACTTAGTTGTTTTTATTTTTTAACAATCAATATTATATGTACTAAGGAAAAATAGTGAATTTAATTTCACAATAAATTAGCAATACTGTAGTTTAAATTCGTCTTTGGCGAGAATCGAATTTAAAACCTCTCACTTATAAGTAAAGAGGAATATCACTGTGCCGTAATTCTAGTGGCGGTACTTGGTTGTTTTTAACTCTCACGTTTCAGCCTTTATTTCTGAGTAACCGAGAAATTTTGGGTTTTTAACTAATGGGGTAGTGCCAAATTCCTTGATGGAAGGGAGCTTGTCAGAGTTAGAAGTTTGGTAGTTTGGTGGGAAAGAGAAAGGGATTGATCAACATGAGTACTTTTTTCGATTTTTTTTCGCCTTTCTTTTGCTGTTTGCATGCATGATTTTTGGTATTCTAAGATACTTTGGCTCAAATATTTACAATTCTTCGAATGTTGAATGAAATGGTCTACTTAAACTACCTCATTATTTTAACCTCGATTTCGATTTCTATTAAATAAAGTAGAATTGAAAGGAAAGATGATATACCTGTTGGAAGGAGAGAATGTATGTTTTGATTTTGGATTTTTATTTTTTTAAATAGATGTAAAGATAAATTTACATATTGAATTATATTTTTGAAGATAATTTAGATAATAATTTGAATTTAAAGGGATATTGATAATTTAGTTGAAAATAATATAACTGTAGAGAGTAAATTTGATAAAAAAATAAAATTATATAAGTTTAAATAAAATTTTCACCGTAATAAACCTAATGGGAGACATTAAAACATAGAAAAGATGAAGGAAACAAGATAAATATTGGGTTGACTTGGGTAAGAAAGTTGGGTGGGTGCCAGAAACGTCAATTTCATAGGCGATTCTGTGACGACCCGCCTCTAATTTTCTATGTAATTTCTTCCCCAGTGTGTAAATTGACATTTCTGCCCATGTTGGCAAAGTGACGTTGATGTATTACTCAGCGTTTATTTTATTTTTCCTAGTAGAGTAATTAAATAGTACTCGCCATTACGATCGTGTGAGTGTAAGTTAGACCCGAATCAGAGCTGTAACGAAAAAGTTACGCTCAGTTAAAGTGTGTTATCAATGGGTAAGTTTGTACACACATGCGTGTTAATTATTCAGGGTGGGAAATACTGTTTTTTATAAGGGGATAGATTGTCTGAGTACTTTTACGGTGCAAATCTGAAAAACCATATCCTCCCTTCATTTTAAATGGACCCGTGCCCCCCATTTCACTCACAACCAATCCTTTTCCCTCATTGTACTCTTCACCAATCAACATCTCTCTACAATTCCCTCACCAATCAGAGAACCCACTCATCACACCTCTCCCCCAATCAGAGACTGCCTACTCACTCTCTATCTCTCTCTCTCTCTCTCTTTTTCTTCTCCTTCTCTCTCACCGAAACTCTCCCTTTCCCTGCAACCCTCTAGAATGACGTCAAAACTTCACATATCGAGCATAAAACCACCATCATCGTGATCTTCGAATCCTCACGAACCCGGCTGTACCAGCCGATGGTGAAATGACCAAGTTTTGATTAGCCAACCCGTAAGGTTCGACTCGGTGAGTTTTCCTCCGACGAGTTTTAGGCCAAGTTACAAGGTTTTAGGATGTGGGGAAGCTTCTACACAACTCCCTAGGGTCCTTAGACTAAGTTTGGAGTCGAGTTGACGTCAAAGCAAGCAAGTTCGAGGAGTTGAGTTTTAGGCCGAGATTTTTGAGGCTTTTTCAAGCCATTTCCCGTCCATTTTTGGACTTCCAAAAGGTATAGAATTGTTCTACTCTTCAAGAGCTTCAAATCCATATAAAGTTTGTTAAAAATGGTTAAAAAATGAGCAAGTTATGAAGATTTTATTTTTTTTCCCAGAAACTGATGAAACCAGATGACAGTGACCGGCAAAGGTCCACCAGAGAAGACGGCGAATATTCCGTCAAAGTTGACGGAATATTCTAACGGTGTCAGGTAATGCCGTTAAACTCTGTTAATTGTTTAACGGAATATTCCGTCAAGTCTGACGAAATATTCCTAACCTATGTTAGCCACTAACATGCACGTGTGGCCATGGGCTAGCCGGCACGTGAGGGCTCGTCCGGCCACCGACCGGTGAGTGGTTGACACGTGTGGGTCCATGTCATCGTGTAGATCATTTTCATATATTCAAACCTTCCGTTTGAGCAAAGTATGGGAGATTTACCTAGCCTTTTTTAATATGTCCTATTTAATTTATTAGTTTAGTTATTTCACATATAGGTGAAAATTATCCCAAGGACGTACGAGGTCAAGCGAGGCTAGGAGGCTACGATCCGACCACGTATCAGTAAGTGAGCATTTTGTTTTCATATATATATATATATATATATAAACGTTATAGTTTCCATAAATGTTTTTGAATTGATTTATGCATATCATGCCACTATTGTTTTTAGATTGATGTTACGCCTATTATGCCATGATTTAATATGTTATAAGAAATATTATAATGCCGTGAAACGCCAAAATAATCCTACAGGATGCTCAGGTAAGCTTACTATTATTGAATTGTTATGGCATGGTTATATTTATATAGTCTGCTCATCATTGCTGCACCCCGGTGTTAGTGGTCGTCTGGGGCCAGAGTTAGTCTTTCATGTGTATGTTCACCTCTGCACCACACGCTTGCCTTGGATCTAAATAGGTGCCAATCCTATCATACAAGTTGCATTAGGCAACTCCGACTCGTAGGTGACTGCGATTATCGTTAGTCTTCACATGATTGTAGCACTAGAGCGTACTTATACATTGCACCACAATCATGTTCATATCAGAAACTATTTGCATGAACTCGTGTGCTAGCGTAGATTGATAAGCAACCTGTTTTCATTATGCTATTGTTGTGGTATCTTAGTTGGCGTATTTCTAGCCTTATTATTATTATTATTATTAAGATATTGTAGTTTGGCGTATTCTAGCATTATTGTTATTTACTATCGTTTTCGTACTTATACGTAGTATGATTTTTCTGAAAACTATACATGTTTTACAGCGAGGGGTTAGTATGTTAAGAAAATAAATGCATTTTATAAACCTTTGTTTTTGTGCTCACTCACCCTTTTGTTTTTCGCCCTTCCAGGTCTTAGATAGCTAAACTCTCTGTGGCATACGAGTAAACTCCGGCGGATTCTGACATATCTAAATAAATGTAGGTTTTTTCCCGGTTGTGTATTAAGCACTATAAATAGTTCCAATTGCACTCTTTTGTTAGCTATGCTCTGAATATTTGTATTCTATAGGTTCTACCCATTACTGCGCACTCACTTTATTAGTTTAATTAAGTTCTATGACAGTTTTAATTATTCACATTTTTACATCACTCACATTTTTGGTTACGTCACCTTCGGATGACGGCCAGCACGCCTCAAAGTGACCAACAAATAAAACATCACAAAGGGTGGTGAGGCAATGCCTGATTGGCTTCCCCTCCATCCCTAACACTCTCTGAGGTTTTCCATAAATGACATGTTACAAGATGATGCATCATTTTTGCCATATCTAAATACAAACCACGTCATTCAGTATTACCGTCTCGAGGTATTTCTTTTTATTTGGAAATGAGAAGTCTTAGATTTGAATCTCATAGATGGTGAATTCGATACCAAATTAAGCTGCTCATTATGTAACTTTGCCAAACTTCTCATCCCTTTATGTAAAAATATCGATGTACTAAAAAATATATACAAACCATGTTCCATTAGTAAATGTAAAGCCAAGTCCACATGTGCAGTTATCTAATTGATGCACATAACAAGTTAAACCAAAGCTTCCCACCTACTTTAGAGGATTATAAAACCTAACAAGGTTACTCCCAAAAATATTAGTATAAGTATACGTAGACGTAGTTATCCTACCATAATGTCGTTTTAAAAAAAAAAAATCTTGGCAAAATGTCTTCGAATTTCTGGGCGGAATTTAATGGCACGTGTCATTGTTACAGGTGTTCTTTGTCAATCTCACGTATTCATTTTCTGTTTCATTCAATATTAAATAGGATTAAAAGAATTTTCAAATTTTCTTACAACTATCTTAGAAGTTACATGTGTATACGGACCAGAATTTTACACATTTTGTAATAAGTTGTTGTTGTTGAATTTTACACATTTTGTAATACGTTGTTGTTGGTCTCATTACGTAACTTTTTCAAGGATTTGAGCTACTTATATTTCAATCTATCACTTATAGATCATCTTTATAAAATATTAGACAAATTTAAAATCACTAAGACATTTATTTGTAGTTATAAAATAGACCGATATGATTCTACAAAGAAACGTAAATTAATCCATTGGTCATATGTCTGTTGATTTAGGTGATTTTTTTGTTAATAACATTTAAGGAAAGACATAAAAGATAATCGATTGAATCGTAGAAATACATTACCGAGTGAGCCTTGAAAAGTATGTGTCCCCGATCTTAACCTATATGGGTACGTTTATTGCACTGGACTAGCTCATGGACTAAGCTAGACTGACTTAGACTAGACTAAGCTGAACTAATTTAGTGTAACGTTTAATGCATTATCGTACTAATAACCAAAATAATAATAAATAATTCTCTTTTTTCATTTGTTTTCTTTTTCTTTCTCTTTTTTGTAGTCAACTGCATTCCTTCTCTCGAAAACAAAGGAACTCTGTACGTATATAATTGTGCACCAAATGGATCCAAAAAAAAAAAATTGTGCCCCAATTTCCCTATCTAGAACCTCCATCTCTCTCTCGAAAGTTGTAAAAGGAATTTGGTATGCAAAGCACCCTTGGTTTTGGTTATTTCCTTTTTGGATTTCAGGCCACAAAATTTTCCTATCAAATATGGGTTTTGCAGAGCTTCAAATGAACTTGGTTTTGCAATTCGTGTCTGGGTTTTGCGATTCAAGTATGGGTTTTGCAATCTCAGCGAATCTGGGTTTTGTGATTCGAGCGGATTTGCGAAGATGTGTAGATGTGTGTAGAGAGAGGACGCTATGGTTCCAGAGAAGATGAAGTTGCGGTCGCAGAGAAAATGAAGCTGTGGTTGCAGAGAGAACACTAGCAGAGCAACGGGAGTAGGACGAAGCAGGTCTTAACTAGTCCTGTGGTTTTCGGGGACTCTCGTTAAGAACTGCTAGCGATGCCGTTAGTCTGGGCGAGTCCCAGCTAATCTCATTAATATTAGTCCTTGGTCACAACAAACGATGTACTACACTAAGAGTTAATCTAGTCTAGTTCAATGAAACTTAGTGAAGCCAAACAAACGGGCCCTATATATGCAAGGTTTAAATGACAAAATGGTTCCTGTATTTTACTTTATTAGTCAATTTGGTCCTTATGTTTTCAAATTGGTCAAATGGGCTCTGTGTATACCTTCGTTAGTCAACAATAGACAATGCGTTAAAGGACCATTATAATCGACATGTGCTTTGCACATGAGAAGGTCATCTCAATCGTTTGATCTTGCATGGGTTTAATGGGTTTATAATGAAGTTACATTTTTGTCCTCTTACTTACAAGGCACAAGTCAATTTTAATGGTCATTTAACAGAATATCTAGAATCGACTAAGATAAACATCAATTTGGCTAAATTAAAAACACAAAGATTAAAGTGAGCGATAAGGTAAGATACATAGAACATTTTGACATTTAATCTCAAGCGCAAATTACGACACAGTTTCCCACACGTTTTATATTAATCTAATTTAATGTTTGTTGTTAGCGCAGGAAACAACAGATGCAAGCGGACAGAGAAAGAAACAAATTAGGCAGGTAAAAGAGAAAAAGCAGAGTAAAAGGAAGTGGGAGGAGCAGGACATATTCGTCAATACAGCGACAGAAAGCCAAAACCAAAACAAGGCGCATTCATTTCAGAAAATTGTCGTCTTCGAAAAGGCACGGAAACAGGTCCCCACTGGGCCACTCCACACACACACTCCACCCTCCATATTACCCACCTCTTCTTTCCAGACATCCCACAGCTCATACAATTTGGGCTCTGGGTTTTCCGATTCCCCACCAAATCCTCCCGGAACTACCTAAAAACCCCCGAGTGGAAGCTATCGATTCGAAGATTCGGACTGGTGGGTTGTAATCGTTCGATGAAGCGAGCATCATCGGGGGACGATTCGATGGCGGCGGCGGAGAGCTTGGCGGATGTAAAGATGAAGAGGGTTAAGATGGAGGAGGAGGAGGTGGAGGTGGCTGACTGCGTTGACCAGGATGAGCTGAAAGGGGCGGGGTTTTCGAATCTGGACGACAATCTGATCTTCGAGGTGTTCAAGCACGTGGATGCGCGGACGTTGGGGATGGCGTCGTGCGTGAGCAAGCAGTGGCACAAGACGGCGGAGGATGAGCGGCTCTGGGAGCTGATATGCACCAGGCACTGGGCCAACACCGGCTGCAGCAGCGAGCAGCTGAGATCTGTGGTCCTCGCTCTCGGCGGGTTCCGGCGGCTTCACGCCCACTACATCTGGCGTCTCAGCAAGGCCTCCTCCTCCTCCTCCAGCTCCGTCCCTTCTTTCTCATCGGCGGCGTCCTCCTCTGATTCGCCTTGGGCGGCGGCTCCGGTGAAGCCGATGCTGAACCCGAAGCCGCCGAGCGCTCGGTGGGGAAAGGACGAGGTGAATCTGTCGCTCTCGCTTTTCTCGATTCGGTTTTACGAGAAGATGAACTACGCAAACAGAGGAAGATGATCAGAAACTAAACCCCAAAATAAAATTATATATTTATATATTTCGTAATTTCAGTTGGATTTTCCCTCTTTAGATTTGGGTTTTCCCCTCTAAATTTCCCTAATTTGGATCTGTAATTCTTGTTAGATCTTGAAGCTTTTTGTGTAAATTAAGGTAATTTCTGAATCATTATGCACTGTAATTCCATAATTTGATGTATTGGAATTTGGGTTTGCTTCAGTTTCTTGTTTGTTTCGGGGGGAAATTTTGGAGGTGGTGATTGTGATTGGCGGTCCGGAGGATTCGATTGGCGAATACGAACAAACAGAAAGGGAAATCGAAGGAGGGTACGGTTGTAATAAAAGGCTTCGTTCTGGGCATTTGGCAGGTTCGAATGGGCGTGAATAGGAAAAGGACAAGAGGAATGAGTGTAGTAATAGGTTAGAAAATTGAGACGATCCGAACGGGAACTGAGTGAGAAGGACCAAGTTGTCGTATGTATTGGAATCGCTCGTATTTCTTGGAGAATTGCCAGACTGCTTGCTGCCGCTTTGGTTTCTGTTGTAATTTTCGCTTGCATTCTCAGAATGGGTATCTTGTTATGTTTCAATAGATTATGTGCTCAATGTCAGAGATAGCCAAATCCAAGTAGTAGGGTTTCCAGTAAAATTTCGGAACTGGTGAAGCCTGTGGGAACGTAAATACTCCGACCAACGAGAACACGCCACATTTTCTGTGAAGATCGTTGGTCAAATCCTCAAGGGTTAATGGGCTACATTCTCTATGAAAGTCCTAGACACTTACAATCAACAGGAGTTGGGATCCAATTCATTGCAAACGGTCCAAACCACTCGCCACACGGCGTAATCAAACACCCTTGATGTATAATGGGCTTGCTCATTAATCTGTTAGCATGATAAAACTCTCCAAAGCATATTCTAGGAGTTTGAGGAATATTCTTCTATCGATGTGTAGACTTGGTAACACTTGGCTAACAGGTTCAACGAACCTGGATGCTAGATTAACTTCTTAGTTCTTGATAAATAGTCAAGGTCAACCACTTTATTTCGTTAATCAAGAACTCTCACTACACTCTTATTACTTCCTACACTCTTTCTAACTTAGACATCGAAAGTGCTTTCACTAACACCACACTAGCATTAGTCTAACTTTGTTTTTTTTTTTTTTTTTTTTTGTAGATTTTTGTAAATTTGCTCCCATAAATTTGTTTGGGGGGGGGGGGGGTGGGTTTTGCCAAAATTGAAACCGAACCAAAACTTCGGTTAGGTTCAATATTCTTTAGATTTTTTCGGTTCTTTTTTTTTTTTAATTTGGTTTTATATGGTTCGGTTTCAGTTTTATTTTATTTTATAAAACTTGATCATTTTTAATATGGAATTTAGAAAATGAGGCTTGTTGGTAGACTAATAATAAGAAAATGAAGAAAGTGGGAACGCAGTTGTACATATATAAGAACATATGTTTCCTATGCTATTAACAACCTCAATTGCAAAGAAAAATGATCACCGTATCTATTCAAAAAACAAACAAATAGAGAAGCTCTTTCAAGTTCTAAAGCCTTCCAAAACTTTCCTTTATAACCAATGAAATATCCTCTCTAATTGAACCAAGTATGCTCCTTGAAAAAACCCTAGACTTAGTTTCAAACTTGGCAACAAAGTTTCACAAAAATGGGCATACATTCACAAAGTGTAAAGGGATTCAGTTCGGTTTCTGAACCTCCAAAACCTAAACCGAACCAATAAGGTTCAGTTTAGTTCGGTTTTTTTTTTTTTTTTTTTTTTTTTTTTCCGATTTCAACTCGGTGTTCAGCCAGTTTTTTCCGATTTTTGGTTTTTTTGAACTCACCCCTAAAATTTGTTTTTGGTTTATGAGAATGTATGTTGCAAGAACCAATAACGAATTCACTTTTTCAAAACAGCTGATCACAGATTGACAATTGTAAAAATTTCAAGATGATACAATCATACACGTTTAAAGTTAATAATGAAGCAAACCTACGAAGTTTTTCTTTTTTAATAAGAAAGAATAGAAGTTATGTCAATAGACAAAATATAGGAAGATTGTTATATAATATTACAAAGGTTTGTGCACAAAATTAGGTAAATACTCTTGTAACGGGTAAAAATTCATTGTACGGTATTTATAAAAGACATTTGACTAACTTTGTGCAAGGTAATTTCATATGATGGGCCAACATTGTGTGTAAACAAGTGATTAGCACTATATTAATATTTTTTTATGAACTAACCTAGTACTTATGCGCTTCTACGAATAGACATAAGCTCAAAAACATAAACTTTTGCCCTCTAATGGACTGCATCAGACGTATGATGTGAGATGAACTTCGAGCAGGTGAGACCAAATATAGGGGGTCTCTTTTGATTTTGTAAGTAAATCCACATGAATTATGTGATCCGAGTTTTCGGACCCAAGAATTTATTTTTTAATACATAAATTTTCCCTTGCTACTTGCACTATACGTTTGTCACGTATATGTAAAGTGAGTCACCAGTCCAATAATATTTGCCACCTGGCAAATCTCTTCCTTCTAATATGAAGTGCATGATTTGGGCACATGGATAGGACGTAGATATGAAACGTCAATTCTCAAGTTTGCAGAAGAAAATAACCTTGTACGTGCAAAGTTCTATACTTTTACATGAAAAGGCATAAACCCTATCTGTGGATAAGCGATTACATGTTCCATTCCATGGGCACGTACTGCATAAAAACACAGAGCTGCAGTATCTTCACCCGTGACCGACAGGCGACGGGTTATTTCTACTGGTAACATACTGAGGTTTGGACGCACATCGTTGGCGGCAAGCAAAACGTTGAAGCTTACAACACAACAAAACAGAGAGAATGGATAGATGTTGGTGAACTCACTGTTTAGTCTTTTGTGCCGTCCCTTTGCTCAATCCCCTCTTCTTTTTTCTTGGCCAGTATAACTTCCAGAATTTTGGTCTCCTTGAAATTAGTTTTTTGTCAGATTCTCTATTTTCTTTCCCATTTAGTTTTTGAGTGTAGTTTTGCTCACCAATCTAAGCTGGTGATGAACATCATTATTATATTAATTGTCGCTACTATACAAAACTTGAAATTCAACCAATGCGCGCAGTTTTGAAATTCAACCAATGCGCGCAGTAACGAAAACCAATGTGGTGAGCGATGAGCAAATATTTTCTTTGGTCTTCTGGTTGGCCAGTTGGCATGCATACCTTTCAAGGTGTATTTTTATTCCATTTGGACCAAGAATTTCCAGACCATTACTCATTGCTCTTCTGAATTCTGAACCAGTTGTGGATTGTGCTCGTTTGGAATTCGCTGGCACTGGCACTGGCACCGTATGAAGACTTGCCACCTAACTCCATATGTCAATGTTTCAACTCACCGCTGCTTACCTTTTGTAATTTCCCAGGATTCTAAAGTTGTTTTTGGTTTGTAGCTTCCCACAGACGCATAAATTCCCCTACAATTCTGTCACAATATTCTTGGTATAGAAATAAAATCACAAATTTGTCCAATTTGGTAGGTCAAATTAGCTTGTTATATGGTACGGATTCTACTTATAACAAGAAAATTTGATCCGTAATTCAAATCTGTTTGTGGAAAAGGTTTCTCCACTCACCTTTTTATTCAAGAGTTTAGATCAAATATGAAGTAGATTATTTGGCTTATTTCTTTGAGTAGGAGCGCCATTTGTAAGACGTCTTTCACAAAAGTATAAAATTGATTTTATGAAGTATAATATTTTGATTCTACGTTGATTTCACTCGTATGAGACTTGTCAAACAAATACGCCCATCACATTTTTGAAACGTCTGCCAAAAAAAAAAAAAAAAAAAAAATCTTTTATGGCTTTGACGAGTTATTTGTGCATGTTACAAACCAAGATTTGTACAAATGCGTGACTCTTTTCATGGCAGAGCCAAGCAATGTCCAGTTGTCCATAGCTAATTGAGACTTTAAGGTTTGACATCAACCAATCGAAAATTAGATAAAAATTCGATTCAGCCCATCTTCAAGTCTTGTCCACCTGGCCGTTCAAGACCGAGTAGACGGGAACAAAACACCAATTGGTGCTAAGTGCTCTTAATCGCATGAGTTACATTTTCGTATGCGCTCTTGTATGTTTTAAATATACTTAGTTGGGCTGGGCTACCCCGCACAAGTTATGTGCAGATTCACAAACAACTAATTTTGGATCGAAATTTTGTGGGCTTTGGCCTTCCGACCCTTTTGCAGTCTTCCTTCCTTTCAATCTTACACAGGCAGTTAGGCGGGCGGAATCAAGAGACAAAGGGTAAAGTTAACTGTAACAAAAAATTTCTCCGGTCAACGAAAATTTAATATTCAACATCTACGTTCCTCCGAACTTAGAATAAATTTTCTGTATATGAGTCTATCAGATAGAATAAATTTTCTGTATATGAGTCTATCAGATTACGTCCTCCAAATGAATCTTCCAACTTCCAAGTCTTCAACTAACCCTCGTGTAGTTTGAACAAAGCCATGCACTTTCCCACACATTTCTTCCTTCCCAAGTCAAAAATATGAAGCTCACATTCCCACCTCCTCCCCACACACTCGGACACTACTATTTATAGCACCCATATCCCACTCGCTTCTTCCAAACCAAATCAAACCGAAAACTCAAACACCGGCCAGAAGCATAGTCTGATCAAGCACCATCGAACCTTTCGCAATATATTCTTCTTCCAGATGGCGAAAAGTTGGAAACCCTTGTTCTCCTTCCTTGTTGCTGTCCTTGTCGTAAGCTCTTTGGTTCTGTGTACGTCGGGGGCTCGTTCTCTTAAGTTGGCGAACATAGACAAAGAGATGGAGAGTGTGTTTGATGGGTTGTATATTGGAACCATGAAGGAAGGTCCGAGCGACGGAAGGGGTCATGCGTTCACCGAGTCGGAAACCCTAGGAGGGAACAAATCTGGTCCTAGCTCTAGCGGTGAGGGACACTGATTGCAGCAGCCATTTGCCATTGTCGCCGCTGCGTACTAGTGATTGATTCTTTCACTATGGTTAAGATAAATATTTTTACACAGTTTTGGGTATTTTGCATATGTAGATTAAGGTGTATTTTCATATAACATGTAGAACATGTTGTCTAGCCCTATAATAAAGCACTAGCTAAACAAGTTCAGCTTCTTTTATTTGTATGTGATGTAATGCAGCTATGATGTAATATTCTTCATAAA